CTCCTATCTCAGTAGCCCCGCCATCACACACAAGGGTCACACAATCCATCGACTCACTTATCTAGGCATACGCTCCGACCTCATCAAGGGCTGATTCAAAACCCTCATCGGTTAATTCTTTATTCTCAGGTACCTTGGGTTTTCCAACCGACTGGCCCAGATCGATAAACACAGTCCGGTATAAGCAAACATTATTCGCTTAGTATGGTCCTCAGGGGACCACAGGCCCACTGAGTTTATGTTTTACTATAATAAAAGTATTTCAATACACACTCAAGGCTTTTAAAGGTCACATAAACCCAACATCTCCCACTTGGCCTTTGAAGGCCTTACATTCTCCCTTTTTCACTTTCTCTCATTCTCAATTCTCTCACATGTCTTACAAAAATATTAAGGACAACTCTCTTAGTCAGAGGGTCTGCAATCATCAAATCTATCGATATGTAGCTGATCTCAATCTCTTTCGATTTTACCTCATTTCTCAGGTGATAAAAATAAGGCTTAATATGCTTTGAGTTCTTGTGAAACCGATGTTCCTTAGAGGCACAAATAGTCGCAATGTTGTCGCAGAAAATTCGCACTACCTCACAACGTACATGATAAAAATTAAGTTGATTAAGAAACTTCTTAATTCATACGGCCTCCTTGGCTGCTAGACAGCATGCTACATACTCGGATTCCATGGTGGACAGAGCCACAATATCTTGTTTCTTTGACTTCTAAGAAACTGCAGCCCCTCCAAGCATAAACACATATCCAGATATAGACTTCGCATCATCTGGATCCGTGAGATAGCTTGCATCTGAATATCCCTCTATTGCTATTTTAGTTCCCCCATTATATGTGAGTGCATAATTCATAATCCCCTTTAAATATCTGAGGATTCTTTTTACAGTTTTCCAATGCTCCTCTCCTGGATGACTTTGGAAACGATTCACTAGACTCATGACAAAGGACAAGTCAGGCCTTGTTCCCATCATGGCATACATAAGGGACCCAACTGCGCTCCTGTATGACACTGTCTCCATGGCTCTTATATCTATGTCTTCGGTAGGACACATCTTATTACTAAGCTTCGTCTTTTTGTTAATTGGGGTAAACATGGGCTTACACATACTCATATCAAACTTTTTCAGAATCCTTTTACAGTAGGTTGCTTGGGAAAGTTGAATAGTCTTCTCTCTCCTGTTTCTTATTATCTTGATGCCCAACACATAAGAAGCTTCTCCAAGATCATTCATATCAAAGTGTTGTCCAAGGAAATGTTTCTTCTTTACTACTAGGGCAATTGAGCTACTAACAATTTGCATATCATCCACATATGATATAAATACCACATCACTCCCACTGACCTTTTGATATATGCAATAATCCTCGTTATTCGTAGATAACCCTACAAGAACAAGGGTCTCCTGGAATTTTATATACCACTGTCGCGATGCTTGTTTCAGGTCATAAAGGGATTTATTTAATTTGCATACTAAATTTTCTTTCCCTTTTTCTTCAAATCCCTCAGGTTGGGTCATGTGAATTTCTTCTTCTAAATCTCCATTTGATAAACCTCAAAGTCAAAATAGGCTGCTATAGCTATAAGGATTTGGATGGATGGAAATTTGGCAACAGGGGAAAATGTTTCCTCATAATCTATCATTTCTTTTTGGGTGAAACCCTTTGCAACCAACCTAGCTTTATATTTTTCTATTTTCCTTTCAGAGTTCAATTTTTTCTTGAAAATCTACTTACAACTAATGACCTTACGTTTTTGAGATAGAGGTACTAATTCCCATACATGGTTTTGGTTAATGGAAGCATACTCATCTTTCATGGCTTCTATTCAGTATTCTTTTTCAGGACAGGTCAAGGCTTCAAGGTGAGTTCTAGGCTCTGAATCTGGTCTTCCCTAACCTTATCAACATGTTCTCCAAGGTAGACAAAATGTTCTAGGAAAAGAGGTGGTCTCCTGACTCGGTTACTAAGTTCACTTTCTCTAGGGAGTCAAATACCTTCAAATCTGTCAAATGCAGTTAAAATCTGTCAAAAACCTTCACTTCAAATGTAACAAAATCTATAGAATGGGTTTTCTTATGAGAGAGGTAAGAGAGAGAGAGAGAGAGAGAGAGAGAGAGAGAGAGAGAGAGAGAGAGAAGAATAGAGAGAGAGAGAGAGACGACGTACGTAAGTACGTAGTAGTAGTAACGAACGTAACGTAACGTAACGGTAACGGTAACGTAACGTAACG